ATCAGTGAAAACCCTATTCTTATCCATGATGAGGAACTTGTCCATTTCATTGAATGTCACTTTGGGGTTTGATTATAATATTTTCACTAGATCTATTATAATTTTTTATTATATAGTATTCACCCGTTGTACAAAAAGACAAACCTGCATCGGGATTAAAAAGGAAAGCAATAAAAATGCAAGGACCCCCACCAGATGATACTCCAGAACTCTCTAATCTAAGACCTATTGTTAAAAAATTTCATCAACAAACAAGCGAATTATCTGCAAAATTCGAGAAAGTTATTAAAGCTCTTCGAAGTAGCTTTTTAAGCCATGTATTCTTATTTAACTGGTGACTTTTTGTAGATATAAGCGTTTCTAAAGATGAGCTCGGCCTTAAATTTTCTGCAATAGCGGATATGGAACAACATTCCGGAATGGCCAACGCTTTCAGAAAACTTGGAAAAACTATTCAAATCATCAGTCATTCATATTTAACCCAGGCGAATACAAAGGCAATACTTCTTATAGATACTTTTTCATATATTTCCTCAGATGCATACTCTGTAAAAGTATAGTATTTACCATTGTTCATATTAACTTTTAATCTGACAAGGAAACTTTAACAAATCGTCAGATTCTTATCAAAGAGTTATTGTCTGTACAAGCGTCTTCTCGTTCTAAACTATCTATTATTACACGTTTAAAATCATCAGCTTCAATAAAATCAGAAAAAGTTGACGAAGTCTTAGCATCTCTTGAAGAAATTCGTTCATATGAACAAAATCTTAATATAAAGCTTACCCGAGTCACTACAAATTTACTACAAGAAGGACGTCAGTGGATTAAAAGATCATCAGATAATATTAAATCAGCTTTAAAAGAATATACAAAACGTCAAATAGAATACGAAAGATGCTTATTAACTATCTTAGAATCCGCAAGGCCGGATATAAGAAATATAGATCATACTGGCGGTCTTTCAAGATTAGGAAGAGAATTCACACGAACAAAGAACAAAAATGATATTAATTCAAGCCAAACTGCTCAAGGTGATGCATGGTCTGGTATCCAAAGACAAAAAAATCATATAAATAAAGAATCTGACTTTCGGTTTTTCAAAAGAAATGAAGATGTTTTGGATGCACGTAGCGCTTTTGCAACTCTTGGTACAAAAATTAATTAGATTTATATTTCTTTATAAAATTATAAAATTTATAAACATATTGGAAATATTATACAGTATTTATGATATCAAAATTTATACATCTTACGTATTATATTCTTAGTCTTCATTTTTAAATCATCATATCTATATAAAATTCATACATTTAACAACTAAAAATTAAAAATATTTGTGAATATAAATAATTTTCAAAGTTATTTCCTTAAATATACATTTAAGCTTTCAAATATTATATAGAATATTCATATAAGAAATTTAAACATAAACCATTAATTTTCTATAGAAACAACCATTTCATCTCCTTAGATATAATCTTTAATTACATACATTTTATATGAAACAATACAATCAATTCTTAAGTTTTTAAGTAAATATCAACATTGATAAAGTATATTTCATCGTCATTATTACTACAAATTATACAAGAAACCATTATATGCAACAAAATATTTTTAATTCATTCAATTAATTAAAATTTAGAATTTTGATAATTTGTATCCAAATAAATTTTTCTCAGATATTTAAAATATAAATAATACATTCATGTATAATTTATTAATACTTGACATTAATGTAAAATTTTATGACCATGTTTCTTGCATATATCGACCTCCTTTCTCCATTTCCAAAAGATACGCCTTAGATTTCTCGATAGTAAAGTTTCCTTCTTTTATCAAAATGTTAAGAAAAGCTTGTTTAACTGCCTCCGGCATAAAACGTGAATTTCTAAATACAGAATTAATTAATTTCTTTTTTCTTTTAAAATACCCAGATAAATACAAAATTCCTCGTTTATTATATAAATAATCATATACAATCTTAGAATGCTCTTCCATAATATGCTGAACATATCTTTTTTTATTCTATATTTTATTATTCTCTATAATATAATTCAATATAAATACCTGATCTCTTGAAAATGCAGTAAACAAAACCAAATTTCCATTATTACAATGTTCCATCCATTCGTCTTTAAACAAGAAATCCTTATGTTCAAATCGACATCCAAAAAATAAAATATTATCTTCATAAACTTAATATAAAAAATAATGACAAAAAATCCAACCTTTACATCCTTCAAAAATACGTTCTTGAATCAAAGAACGTAACGGTGAAACACCCGTTCCTGGCCCCACCATAACAACAGGAACCATGCACGATTCTGCCTTTTTTAAGGTACCTGGAGAAAAATCTATTTCTATTTCAACACCTAAACTTTAATATAATCCAGAACTAAACAACAAAATACCTTTCGAAAGAACAGACACCCATCTTGTACAAACACCATATCTAAATTCTCTCAAAACGGTTTTATACTTAACAATTGCTATACATAAATGAATTTGGCCGGGATTGACCTAAAAATATAGAAAAGTTAAATAAATACTCAGGTATATACCATTGGACTACTCGTAATTGAAAATTTTCGACCACGTATAACAGGAAATACATCAAATATATAATCCAATGGAATATTTAGTGGATAAAAATCCTGAATAACTTCCAAAATTGTCCTCCTTGGCCAATTAACATAACTATATAAATCCTCCTGACCATCTGCTACACAAAAATAACGCATTTTCTCAGCAAACTCTTGATTATCTGTAAAATAGACCAAAAACTCAAAAAATGACTGTCGAGGAACCGACAAAAAGTCAAACACATTCGTAAAAAGATACCGCAAACTTGCATTAGACGGAACTCCAGGCTTTCCACGCTCCTTCGAAACTATATACAATGGTATATCCGCTATTTCCGCCCATCCCATATATTCCAATAATGTGCATACCTCCTTTTCTGGGTTTCTTGGGTACAGTATTACCCGATCTCCCGAACGATACTTCACTGACCTATCGACACCTAACACAACATGCCGTACATCCTGCCAGTGATCTTTCGCAGTGATACGCACATTCTCTAACACTTTTGCCTTAATCTTCCCCTTTACTTCCACTTTCTCCCTAGTCTCTTCTAATTCTATTTCTACTGTTTTTGGCTTATTTAACAACACAGAAAACGATGCTGGCAAAAGTACATCATCTGCATACACTCTATACCCTACTGGAAGTGGATATTTTTCCTCAAGAATGGTCCAAAGAGGTTCTGACCAGCGCATCAATGCTCCCCATACACTTCCCTATTCAGCCAGATCCAATAGTCTCACTATTTACCCTTCCACATCCTGCTCATCAGCCTCCCCCCGAACATGAATTTCACAAGCACCCAACTGCTCTAGCCGTCGCTGTAACTTCTTTCCAGACCAATTGTATCTGCCAAGACATTATAAGCCCAACAAATGCAAGTACAAGCTGAATCTCAACACACTTTACATATTGTCTACTTCCGATACCAAACACACAAAATTGCATCTTTGAAAATAGATCTGCAGGTAGATCTGCACGCAGAAAAAATCGCCACAACGGCCGCATGTTTTCCGGCATCTCACCATCACCCGTCGTTGAGCAGACAAAGACTACAACCAGTGGCTCCAGCAACTCTATACTATCAGCACAAATCCACTATGATACGCTACACTGCATATGACTGCATTCTAAAACTACAAACACCCAAAATATACTACAAACCCTCAAAAAACAGCACAAATGCTATACAAACATTAGATAGTATAAATATGCTCCGAACGTATCATAAACAACAAAAACACACTACAATCATGCAAATATACTATAATTGCATTGGTACAACTGCATAAACACACTATAAGAACACGCTCCTTATAGAAACTAGAAGTCCCCTAGAGACAACACTAAAGCAGCAATGCGTACATACACCAACTCACCATCAAGAATAACATCTTCTCCTGCACAAACGTGCGTCTCAAAAAGTCGTCGCCGCGCACTACGCGCAAAACTTACTGCTACATCCTCTGCAGTCCCTGTTTCACTCCCAAAGATCACCAATAGTCGTCGTCCCATTCTCCATTGATATGGTGTCATGGCAACCAACAGATATCCAGACCTAACCCTTATCCATAATAAAGACCAAACCCTAACAAACACAGATGCTGTTATAACATATTAATCTGTGAATCAGGAACCAAAACACACAGAATGCAAATTATATATATTCAATACAAAACACAATGCTCGGAAACATGAGTAAGCTATTCACAACCCAACCTTAACAATATAGACACAGATCTGACCCGCAACCAATATAGACCACCGCGCATCAACTCTCAACCCTAACCTTAATACATTCACACCAATCCATTACAACCCCTAACCCTAACATAACCGGGTAACAGAGTAACGAGGAATCTACATCGAGAGTACAAGTCATGTTCCAACCAAATACGTGATAAGCATGTTATGACACGTATTAAGGCAGACACGCATCAAATGTGTATTACATGCCCAAACACAGATTGAATAGAGTCAAACCTGCACTGAAAACCCAGTGTCAAACCATGCAATTTATGCACATTGTTATATGTACACATTAGCCACGTTAGACTTAAGCGCTATTCATCAACTAGGGACTCTGATAAGTAAGGGTTAGGATTACATGTTACCCTAAGATAACTAAACCTAGATATGATGGACCAAGATTAGGGTCAAACCAATTTCTCCACTTGCGAATATAGGGTTAGGGCTAGGGCAAACTGTTATCAAGATTAAGGCTGAAGCAGACAGAGAAAGAAAAAAGACAGACAGTACATAAGAGCAGCATGCACGCAAAAAAACGAGGAAAATAAAGTCTATATCTGGCATCATCTGCATCTGTGCACTATAGACTCCCGTTTCCTAGCAGCACATGCTGTCGTATCACGTGATAAAACACACGTGATTAACAGTATAAGAAAAACGAATGCCCCCACTGCGAGTCGAACACAGGACCTTCTCATCCCAACATACGAGTGAGATGTTATAGCCACTAAACTATAAGGGCAAACGCGAAAGGAAGAAAATATACACTTATAAGCACGAACTTAAAGCACATGAAGGTGTGTGCATAAGTAATGTATAAAATATAAACTGATTGAGAAGCAAAAAGAAACAAAAAACAGTACAAACAACAACAATATAGAAGTACAAGCAAATGCGACGTAACAATGCACGGGTCAACGTGCAGCAAGCAACGGAAACTCCGTCGCAAGTCTCAGGCATCCCGCGGCAGCTAGAAGGGAGGATGCGGCGCGCAGGAACAGAACTGATCCGACAAGCAGGAGTGGCTCTTGGGCTGTAAGAAAGCAGCGTTGAAACAGTGCTAAGAGTAGCAGACACATCACATGCACGGTGACAGCACAGGTGCTGCTGCAGCGGTTTTACTATGTAGAGTCATTGAGGAAATTCTCAGTAGTAGAAATAGCAATGGGAGCTATTTTTCTTGCATCGAAGATTACAGAGCGGCCGGCAAAAATCCGGGACATTGTGGGTGTGTTTTGGACACTAGTAGGGACTAGGAGGGGCGAAAAGGCAGAATCATTGACGGAAGAAGTAAACATAGCAATAAAAAGAACGATTTTGACAGAGTCAGGTGCTATATATGGAGAAAGAAAAAATTTTGGTAGCAGAGATAAGACTGTTGTCATCCCTAGGGTTTGATACGTATGTAGAGTTGCCGTATGGACAGGCAATGCAATATCTTCAGATACTAGGGTTGGCGGAGGAAAAAGAAATTGCACAGAAAGTATGGTCGTATATTAATGATACAATGTGCACAATAGTTCCGTGTGTAGAACCAGCTGCGTGCATTGCAGTAGGATGTATCTATGTAGCAGCGAACGAGGCTGGAATCAGGTTTCCAGACAGGTGGTGGCAAGTCTTTGATGTGGATGAGGAGGATATAATATATATAGCAACATGTGTTAAGTCATTTTATATAGAGGAAAAAGAAAGGAAGAAACATGAGCAAGAAAGAAGAACGCCGATTGAGCTGGATGAGTTGGAGGAATATTTAGCGGAAGTTTCTGTCAAAGAGCATCTAGATGGGGCTTAGATGTCATCTATATGGAATTGGGAACAGCATTAAGCTATTATTAGGATCAGATCAAAATGGAAAATGTATCGAGAAAGATCAGCGAGAAAAAAGGAGTATAGTGTTTTGAGAAAAAAAACATTATATGATGTCTATTTTTATAAAATAAAAGGACTCTAGAAGAGAAAAAATCATTTTTATGCATAAAAGCGTTAATGAGAAATGCTTCATATATTCTAATATTTATAACTATTTTGAATTAATGTGATTTGAAATAGAAAAAACACTTTTTATAATAGCAGAAAATTTAACTATTAATGAAAAGTAGTATTTAAAAAAATCTTTGTATTCGAATTGGGACTTAAAAACATACTTTCATGAACTATTGAAAAAAATGTATAAAAATGCTATTTGATACAAAAGCTTCAGGTTTTCGGACATTTTTCCTTTAAACATTTAACTTTAATTCGAACACAAAAAGAAGTACGTTTTAACATCCCACTAAATATTTTTTAAAACCTCAATTCACTATTTTAAAGTTTAAACTATATTCATTTATATCAATAATTTTTCAATTGCTGGGTATAATTAGTAAAAATATTTAAAAAAAATAGTTTTATTGATAGTAACGTTTTTGGTTCTCTAATACTTGTTTAGTAATTTCCTGCAATAAATTTGTAGAGAAATGATTATAGATTATATAAAGACAGAAAACACTTCTCAAAACAAAAATCATATATTTTAACAGATAATTTTGTATTTATTTCTGAAAAGAATAACACAACAATATCTACAAATAAAATAAGAACATTTGATCATATTTCATCGAGCTTGTAAATTAAAGAATTCAGACATATAATTTATATAAGTTTGTGAATTTTCTGTTATATTTTTTCAAGAAAATTGCTAAAGAAAAAACAGTTTTACGAAACTATACCATAAACAATCTCCATTGATGAAATTAACACAGACATGGACCTCAATCACATATATTACTATAAAAGCAATTAAAAACATGTTTTATCTCTTTCAAATACCTACAAATCCATAATAAGTTTTATTTCCAAAATATTTTCAATTGTAATATTATTATTGTATTCATTATAAAAAAGTATTATCAACTAGATACACTAAAAACTGAAGAAGAAACCATGAATGTATTATTAAAAATATCTATAAATTATTTTTTCGAAACTTAAATAATATAATAATTCAAATAATAAAAGGCACTTAAGGACATTTTGTAAAAAAGTGATTATGGAATATTAGAAAATAAAAATTTATGATAGCATATATAGGTACAAACTTTTATGTTTTCCGAGTATTTTCCCATTTTTAATAAAATATTTTTAATTAAAATAAAATCACTCATTTACAAATTTGAAAAAAGGCATAATTTAAAAACATAATCAATTAATCCAAATCCTACAATTCAAAAATGCAACATTTCTATAGTTTTCAATAAAAATTATATCATTTTATCTTTTTTTCTAAGCAAAATTGGCTTTAAAGCTTTTATAAATTCTAATACTTTAAAAACTTAACTAAAAATAATCCTTATTAATTATAATAAAAAAATACAATAAGTTATTGTCATGATCTATAAATACATTTTTATCTCGATATCTACATATATGTATATATATATAGATATTTACCCATTTTAAATTCATAAATGATAAGAATACTACGAAAACAACTTACCAATGAATGATACATTATGTCCAAAGATTAAAAATTATATAAAATATTAAAATTTGTAAAAAAATAAAGTTAAAAATCATTAAAAAACTAACATAAAAATACCTTATCATCAAATAAATAAATTATGTTACAAAATATTTTAAATAATTTTATAAAAAAAAACAAAATTAAGTAAAATTCTTTGAACAATAAATATTTAAAATCTAGAATCAAAATATATTTGCAAATATATTTACAAAAAAAAATAAATACAATAAATAGTTATTGAAAAACAAAAGATAAATCGGCAATGATCAATCAACGATCTTAAAAATTTAAAACATTTTCTATAATAAAAAAAATAATTTGACCTGGAATTCAAAAAAATTATATGATTAAAGTATCTAATTCATTCTTTTCGTATTTATTTTGTTCCTCAATAACCCAGCCCAGAGTTTTTCCAAGGTATATTTAAAAAGAAAAAAATAAGTAATATAAAAAAATAACAGATACCTCAACAATCTCACTAGAAATATTATATACAAAAGGAATAATCACAATTTGTCCACAGTTTCAGATGTCTTTGATCAAAAACTTCACAAAATGCCTACCGTTAAGAAAACAATGGTTCATTTAATTCAAAAAATATAAATTTGAAATACTGAATATGCATCTTAGATTATTTACAAATCTCCAAATATGAAAACTTCACCAAAAAAGCTTACAAAAATAGCTAAGCAAATTGCTGGTAAAAAACTAAAAGATGCTATTCTACAGATGGATTTTAGTAAGAAAAAAGCTGCAAAAAATGTAGCAGAATCACTTAAAAATGCACGTATAAGAGCTATAAATAACGAGCTGGATGAGAATACATTATTCGTTGATCAAGCATTGGTTGGAAAAGGTATATATATTAAACAACCGTGGTTTAGAGGAAGAGGAAGAATGTCAATACGAAGAAGACCACGAGCACACATAAGAATGATTATCAAGGACATTACTGCACTAGAACAACGAAAAAAAAAGGCGCAAACTCGACAAAAACACAAAGCTGTATGGGTACAAATTCCGAACAAACCAATTTATAATAAAGCTATTGGATTCACGTGTTAATAAAATATATTTATACAATCATTAAATAATTGCATCCTCTAAAAATTGTTTTCTAGAACCTTACAACAGAATCCTTTGCTAAATGAACTCAACTGCATAAAATTCTTCTCAAATCCATCTATTCCTCCCTATCGTTAAATTTAATATATACTTCGTAAAAATCTAATCTTACGTAATAAGGGTCTTGTACAATCTTACTCTCATTTTCTAAACTATAATCTCCAAACAATTGCACTATATATTAATTTAATAGAAACAAAAAATAGAATTATACCTTTTACATGACTATTTTTAGGGCGTTTATCATTAACATCCTCCAGGTTTGAAAGATCCATCACAAGAATATAATCAAATATAAAAAAATCATCATTACATAACTGTCTAGCTCTATGCGTAAAATTTATTCCATGTGTTTTTAATACTGAAAGTGTTCTATAATCTGGTTTTGAACCAATATGATATGCTACAAAAGATTAAAAAACTCAAATAAAAAGTATACATATACAACCTGAAGTACCACAGCTATCAATAATGCCAAATTTGTCATGTAATTTGTTTTTTAAAACATAGTCAGTGAAAACACCTGATAAAAATAAATTTTTAAAATATAAAAAACCATCATTTGAACCTTGAGCCATCGGACTACGGCAAATATTCCCAAGACATGCAAAAAGCACATTTATTTTATTATGATTATTATTCATTCGTAACAGAAAATGAGCAGCATCTATAAAAAAATACAAAAAAAAATATTTTTTCAGAATATTAAAAAATATAAAAACTTAAAAAATATCAAAACATCTACTCCTAAAACAATCCTTCTACATCATAAGTCTCAGGATTAATATCTATATCATAATATGCAGGTCGAGTTGGGAGTCCAGGAATTGTCATAATTTCAGCGACTAATGGAATTATAAAACCAGCACCAGCATTTAATCGAACATCTCTTATAGGAATAGAAAAGCCCGTAGGTGCACCTTTTAATTTCGGATCATGTGAAAATGAGTATTGAGTTTTAGCAATACAAACAGGAAGATTTCCAAATCCCTAATACTTAAATAAAATCAAATATGAAAAAAGCTTACCAGTTCCGTATATTTGGAAATCTTTTTACTTGCTAATTCACTCAGTTCAATACCATCAGCACCATATATTTCTTTGGCAATTATTTC